TGATTATTTCGTACCAACGAATAGGTTCTCTTTGACTAAGTTTTCTTGAAGGCGAGGGGAAAGGGGAAGGTCAGCCTTTTAAGTATTATAGTACAATCCTAGAAAAAATGCAACACCACCAAGAACAATATCGAGGGCGAGAATGACGGATTAATCGCCCAGGAATCAGCAATCTCGTCGTAGCTGCCATAAGGCGCGGGATAAAGCCCGCTCTCGCACCCCGACGATGACGCAAGAAAAAAAGATACAGGAAGCCATGATAGCAAAGATAAAGGAGCGTAGGGGGATAAGAGTGAGTGCCAAGAGTGAACAGAGAGAGAAAGGAGGGAGAGAAAGAAGGAGAAGAAGAACGAGTTGGCGGCGCAAAAAGGCAGGAGATCGTAAAGTAAGTTCGTGGCGTGGATGGCCACCTCGGGCTCTCCTAATGGACAATAACCACGATATATCGCCTCATTCTGTAGGATCTCTCCCGGCAACTGAATGACTACTTCCGTTCCTATATCGCGACTTTAAACGCAGCTATGAATGCGCTGGCTCTCGTGCAGTTATGCATCATGCACCACTTTGGCGTCGTCGATAGAATCGCGTTATCGCGGGACGTGAGATAGACGCACTACTCTATAAAAAAAAAATCTACGGAAATTTTTTCTATAAAATTTGGAAATTTTAATTTCAAGAGTTTTTTTTTAGAAATTAACAAGGAAATGTTTTATTTTTTTCTATCTCTTTCTCTTTTATTTTTTTATTTATATTATTATGTTTCTATATTTTTAGTTTTATTTATATTATTATGTTTATATATTTTTAATTTTATTATTAATTCAATTTTATTATTAGTTTTATATATTTATCATTATTTTATTATTTAGAGTATAATTGTGTATTTTTATTTTGATAATCGAGATTTATTACGAGAGATTTATCTTTTTTATTTAATATTTGCCATCAGCGTTTCTTATGATCTTTTTTTATTAAATATATTTCTTTTATTGTGAGATACGGTAGCCATCGGTGAAAGGTTCTCGTTTTGCCGGTTTTGCTTTGATGTAGAATGGAATCATGTAGAAATCGGTCGCGCGCTGCGCTTCATGAACGTCGGACGGAAGAACGTCGCGACACTCTTGCGCAATCGCAAATGCAACGCTAACAATGCGATCGTTTGAAATTCAGTTAAAGGGCGTCCCTTCAATTACGGGGGCGTCGGACGCCGGCGCCAGCGTCGGTCGCATCAATAAAAGATGGACACGACACACGAGACCGCATCTCTCGCCGATGCTGCATTAGCACGTCAAATCGATTAGCGCGATTAATAACGATAAACTGCGGCGATCTTGGGGGATGTGCGTCCCGTTCTCTTTCATTAAACCTTTTTGCAACGCGAGAAGGGTTTCTAGCTAACTTATTTTTCCGGGATCGTCGTCGTTTGCATTTAGCATTTTTTGGGTGAGTGATTTGAGTGAGCAGGAGAGGATCGAAAAAGTGATTAAATTATTTAATTTAGGAAAATAAAATATATATGCAGAAATTAAATTATAAATATGAGTGTATTTCGGTTGTCCATGAAGAATGACACAAAGTTTCCAAAAAATCCATCATATGTCGAAAGATTCTAAGCAAATATTTATAAATAGTAAATTTTTTTATTTTTAATAGATACACGTTTTATCTTTTCGAAATAAAATAATACATTTTCCATAGTACGTATGAGATATCAATTATTTTAATTTTAAACAACATTTGTTTCGCCGCATCTACGTTCATTTTCTCTAATGATTAGAGAAAATTCCTTTCGCGATCTCGCGTGCGAGAAACGAGAGGATGCGATATCAACGGAGACTAGAGGATCTATCCATCGCCTTCGGCACTGACGTACGACGAAAAAAGGCTCATAAAAAAAAGGCGAATCAATCATAAAGTTAGCCTTTTATTCCGCAAGAGAATGGATAAAACGGCGCGCTCGCGGAATATCGGCACGCGGGGAGGACGCGAGCGCGGAGGGAAAGGGAGGAAAGAGGCGGAATATAAAGTTACGTCACACGTTTATTTCATTCCCGTCGATCCAATAAAAGTCCCAATAATAATTTCGGATGTTTTCCGATGCAACATGTTTGATTTAGTGTCGGACATTTTGTGATCGCATATCTGCCTCGTAAATCTCGCCGCGGTGGCGCCACTGCATAAAAATATCAAACGTCGATGTGTCCCGCGTTCAACCCCAATCCCGGGCGGTAAAATATTGCCCGCGATTCCGCGCGACGGAAATAGCCTTTCATGCCCCGCCGCCTGATAATTCCAGAATTTCGCAGATTTATACCCGGGAGAGGCCATGGAAGATACGCGCCCGCGCCCAATCGCGCCCGTTATTATTAATCGCCGCGCGTAACGATAAAGTGGGACGTTTAATTTTTAAAAATGGCCCCTAACGAATATCGCCACGCCGGCCACCCCGTGCGCCCCGGCCCCACCCCGCCCGCGCTGTCCCGGAAAAATATACGTCAAGATTATGCCGGCCGATTCGAGTGCAATGTCGCGACCGAACGGCCAATCGGGTCGCGGCGTGATTGGGAATAAAACAAAAAAGAGGTTTTTAAAAAAAAATAGTAAGCAAGGAAAATACAATCGTGCCACTTTGTGCCACGTGATTTTGATGGCGAGCGTATATCAGCGCTCTGATGGTTGCGATCGGATGTTCCGATGCGTATAATGGCGGCCGGTTGCGGCCACGTTGTAGAGTATTTTGACCTGGGATGGGTAATTGCATATACCATTTCACATAAACCCTTTAGGAGCAGCGCAAAAGTTGATTTGCAACAGGCGCGATTTATATGATTGACGTCTCGCAATTAATATGCCAGCTAGCTTTTTGCATTGCAGTCGAAGTTACATTGTTTTCCCGACAGTGCGCTGGCAATGGCGCTCCCTGGTGTATATCTCTAAGATTTCCCCGTGCCAAGTGGACCAAGATACGATGGGAATAAAACGGGAAGATAAGCTCCCTTTTTTCCACGAATCGCGCGATAATGCTCCAAAATGAAACGGTACCGAAACGCACCGAATCAGTGCCAAGAAGGAAATTATCTCGATGCGCATCTCTCTCTCTCGACTCTTCTTATTTTCAAGAATATTGCATTATTCGCCTTTTGCTTAAACGCTACACGGCGACGATGACGGCTCTTCTTTTCCGCCATATTTCTCGCCATTACCAAGATTGCAATTGGATTATATTGATTAATTGTGCACTCGGGACGAATCAGCGCAATTGCGTAAATGAGATATGAGGTACCATCACGTCTCTCAATGATGGATTCCACAGTCATTCTTTTTTAACAATTCTACGATGTGCGTTTGATTAATAGCCGTGATTTCTTAACGACCCCGTGATGACCATCGATTTTATCATTAGGAGATACTGCGGTGTCTCATTCACCCTCTCCCCCTTCCCTATCGTAATTGTCCCCATTCATCTTATACACTCTTCTCTAACGTATCTTTTATTATCCGACCTTTTACTGTTGCGCGATACTTCGCATGAAACGTAGCTTCTCATTCTATTTTTTTTTTCGCTTGGAAAAAGAAGGGAAGATATGCAGAAGCCAGCGATGTAGCATGTTAATAAGGACGAGTAAAATATAATGGACGTATTGACCGAATCGATTACTCGGATATCATTTTGGCGGTAACACTTACAGCTTTCATAAGCCAACAGCTGCGCTGGCATATCCCTTCTATTTTCGGCAAAAATTTAGTTCAAGCCACTTCGAGCTCGAATAAACAGAGTACGAGGCTCCTTCTCGATTTCGCCCGGCGGAGCCTCGTCGATATTACATACATCGGTTCGTGTCCATGTCGCACGTTTAGAAATCTACTCCCGAGACATCAACAATCCGGACGCGGATTCACGCGAAGAGCGAAAGAGTCGAATTTCGCGACGCGAAATGGCGAACCCATTGGCCGCACAACGTTTCAATTCGCGGATCGGCAATCCGTTTGTCCCCCGTATGTCGCCGGGCGTCGACACGGAGAGAACACAGAGGGCATCCAGTTCCGAAATAATGACTCGCTCCAGCGAGTAAGAATCAGATCCCGGCGCGCGGATTATTGAATTGGCACGAGACAACGAATGGAGCGCGCTCCCATCGGAATATTAAAATAATCTGCCATTACTTTAATAAATCTGTCCCTCCGTTTTCCGGCTCTCTGTTTCTCGACTCTCTGCCACCCTCCCGTCCGCATCCCCTCCGTCCTCTCCTCCTTCTCTCACCCTCCGCTCGCCCCATGCTCGCCTCCTCGAGCCCGCCTTCTCGAGCTCCTCCGAGCGCGAGAGCACTCGAGGCAGGCAGTCGCAGATGTCACTGTACCCCTAATGAGCGCGCTATTTTTCACGAGTATTTTTATCCCGTTTATTGGCTGCCCGCTTCACAAACTGTCGGCTGGATATTAATCATTCGGCTCTTACAACTCTGGTTTTATTTCCTCTAAGGATGAAGAATGGCGGGGAGGGGCGGCGGAGGAAAATCTCGAGGGGACGAGGGCACTCTCTCTCCTCTCTCTCTCTCTCTCTCTCTCTCTCTCTCTCTCTCTCTCTCTCTCTCTCCTGCTTTCGTGTGCTTGCGCGAGCAGCTTTCCTTCATTAATGTTATTAAACTGGCTTCCTCGCCCGTCATGACTCCGCTTCGCGACTTACGACTGACTTTTCGTCGATTCGGTGCATCGTGAAAGATCACGGAATCTTACGTTTGATACACGAGTTATGAAAAATACTGCGCGAATGAATTCGTCGATTTCATCGATGAGATGAAATACAGCAATTTGGCATCACTTATGGCCATTTAAATATCAACGCTCAAGATCATTAGTTTTATGCATAATTTTAAGGAATTATTTTTTTTTATTACTAGAATATACTGGTATAATATTTTAACTAATTTATCTCTGCGTCTTTTGTCCAGTTAATATTTCTTTAATTTATCTTAAGCATTTTGATCTTTATTTCTAAAAAAAAAAAAATACGTGTTTTTTGAATTGCAGATTTACATTCTTCCTTTGTTATAACACATCTGTTTATGTACGCTTACCTGTCAAATACATTAATATATTTTCTTCTTGACGCAGAGAAAAACTTTCATGACATGAACATTATGTGGTCTCTCATAGATTAACGTAGGCTGACATAGACTACATACTAAAGGCTACATTTTTTATATTATTTCTGCATCTACAGCTGATGGAAGTATATCCTTAAGTTTGTCTCATGAACATACAATAGGACATCGCCGTTTGAAGTATCTTAAACAGACGAAAATTATTTATATTCTTTGTTATTATTGTTTTTGTAATGAATTTTTCTCTTACCATTCCAAAATTCTGTAAGGATATCACATACAATTTACAGGCAGTCAGAACGAGCGGGTAGAAGCGTCGTTTCATTATTAACAACAGTAATTTCTGCTCTGAAACAACTGCATCGTACCATATGGAGTTGTACCTATATCAAATTTCCTTTTATTTTAAGAATGAATTTTATTGGGCACGTGATGAAGTAAAGGAGATATCGAATTTAATTTTATATTGTTTATGAAAATTCAGTAAATATATTTAAGAAAATTAGCATGTATAATAATTAAAATTATATTATGACGTTATTTATAATATTTGTGACTTTACAAATATATTTAATGATAATGCTTTTACAATTATTTAGCGTATTTTCGGATAAACGTAACATAAACAAATTCAGAAAAATAAAGAGAGAGAGAGAGAGAGAAAGAGATTCGTCTCCTCTTTTAAATTTTATTTATTTCGATTATTCTTTTTTTTATCTTCCATCTATAATCTTGTCGAAGATATATTTATTATTTGAGAAAAGGTACTTTACTTACACCCTCTCACATATGTTCGAGGTCTTGTCCGTGATTTTCTGTCCCATGTAATTAGATATGAATAAATACACCATTGTTGCAAAAGTGAAGCCGATAGATCTGAAAGCTCGCTCGATATTGCCGCCGATGGTTAATATCTGAAAGATTTTATTTTTACATTTCAATGTGAATCAACAAATTTTTATTATTAACATACCTGCGCTAGGGCGAGGCCCATTGCTAATACGAATCCTAAGAAGTCCATTAAAAACGGTATTGTATGATAAATTTCGATTATATCAATGAATCTTGCAATATAAAAGAAGATCATATATTAATAGAGACTGCGAGATGAAGGAAAGAATGTTTCTCATACATAAGAAATTTATGTATAAGAAATTATATGTAATTAATTATGTGTAAGAAATTTATATAGTATTAATATTACATTCTTACAAATAGAACTCGTCAACTTTTTAAGTGAAAAATCATTTTAATCGACAGCAGATAATTAATAATAAGATTCCATCGTATTTTTGCAATTATTTATTCATTAATTATAACTTATAAAAAATATAATAATTTTATTTAGAACCGACTGGAAAAATATCTATTAAGACATATCATTTAATTTAATAATAAGTTTATTATTAAGTCGTATAAAAAAAACAAGAGTGTGGAAATTGTTTGATTAATTATTACTTTTTGATTTTGCATTCCAGCCGCTATTTCTCCGCGGAATGTTGATGATAAATTTAACTAAAATGATTTGATAATAATAGATTACGCATGTCTCGAATAAAAGTACGAACTGTATAATGTTGTAATGCAGCCGTACAAAAACGGCTATGCCGCCGCGATTTATTTTTGATCTCCGTATTAAACCGCATCCCGCCGTACCTTTGACAACGCAAAATAAGCGTTCCGCACGATACCTGCCGAAATTATCATAATAATGTTACTCGATACACTTGACTTTGCTCGAGTAAACATTTTTCTTATAAACGGAAGAAGAGACGATACGATTGATGATCATTTATGAGAAAATAATACGTTCATAAAAATGTTTAAAAAACACGAAAAGAAAAAGTACTTTTGAAAATTTCTCTTTTCTTAAGAGAAAACAAATTATATTGAATGCGAATCTATGTCCAACTCAAACTGAGACTGAAAAGAATATACTGAATGAACCAGCTGCGCGCTCTACTTTCCAGCAATCTATGAATCGTCTGCTCTTTCGCGAATAATAGTCAATTGCGAGGAGTAATTTCTTACCCCAGCAACTCGCACATTCCGCAAACGTGTTGCATAAGAGCTATATACAGAGTGACACTGCTAATGAAAATTATTGGTAGTAAAAAAAAGCACGATACATATATGAGACCGAATGAGATAAAAGTATTGTTCCTCATCGATAAAGAATTCAACTTTAAAGGGTTGTATTCTTGGACGGGATTCATTCATGGGTGCTATAACGTCGAGGATTTCCGGTACAAATATCCATATAATGTATATTATTACAGCTGCATACATCAGAACTGAAAAATTCAATAATTATAAATTTTCTAACATTTACATAAATATTTAATAGATTTAAATAAAAAATTATTAAATAAAAACTTTCTTTGAATGTATTAATGGCGAGCCTAGTTTTTAGCTTCTCTATAGAATATATTTTTAAGCGTAATATATTTAACAGTAATATATTTAAGGGTACAAGATTTTTAAGTGGATTAAAGTATAAAATAATATCCAAAAAAGAATTCAGTTTTTAGTACAAGCTGTTTCTGTTATTACATTGTGCTGCAAGCTCTCAAAAAAGTTTTGTTTATTAAAAGTTATATTATATAATATACGATGTAAGGAAAAAATTGGAAGAAGTTTAGGAAAAAAGTAGGGAAAGTATGAGCAATGAATGCAATGAGTCAATCATCCGTAGAAAATCCATATCTATTTAATTCGATGACAGCGATTATAATAAATGCATTGTAAAAATAAAATCGTATTATGTATGAATATATGAATCGTTAGAAG